ATAGTAAATGCATTTCTGTTACTTTTGAAAATGCAGTATTTTTATTGCACAGGGTCTTATTTTTATAGTAAGAAAGCTGGATGCAGGTGGTTATTTTTGCTAGTTTAGTGATTCATTTTGTAAGTACAGTTCCTACACTGCTTCCTTGTTGTCCTTGGGTATAGTAATCAGCTTTAGGATTCTAAGTCACATCCACATTAGAAGGACAGGATGCCTCAGCAACATCTGATATATAGGTTCTAGTTCTGTCTTCCTAACAGTGGGGTTTGGATCTCAGAATTTTCTACTGCAAATGAGGGTGGTGATACTGCTTCCTGACACAGATAATGGAAAGTTGATTGAGTTGTTCAAATGCTTTGGACTTGGCCATATACTTAGTGAGTAGATGGGTGGTGTGTGTGTGTGTGTGTGTGTGTGTGTGTGTGTGTGTGTGTGTGTGTGCTATTAGTTTAGTCACCTTTATCCAGATAGCAGATTGATTGCATCACATCAGGAAGGTTATTTGCTAGCACTTTCTGTGGCATCATTTTGCTCTGCTTTGTACGAGTGTGTACTTTTCCGTCGATGAGAGCATCAGTGTATACCAAAAAATGAACTCTCTGATCTTTCTGAGGCCTGTCTTCCTCTTTTTGTTCATTAACTCATTCTTAACTTCAGTCTAAATATGCCTGAGGATAAAACTTGGAAAATTCAACTTATAATTCCTGAGTTATAAAGGCTATAAAGGAGGCTGTGAAAGAGAAAACAAAAGTAAACCATGGGGGACAACATGTTGCAAGAAGACTCTGTAGTCAGTAGTGTCATTGCTTTGGAAGTACAGTAGAACAGAGGTTGAAATATCCTTTAGGCCTGACCTGTGGCGGCCACTGCTTACCTTGACAAAAGCTTTTCAGGTAATATGTGCGTGGGTATCCGGGAACTTTCCAAACTATAGTGAGTTTACATTTCTTCAAATATTTAGCAGCTGGATGTGAGACAGAGGCAGTATATTCTGAGGGTCCAGGGACTTCTAAGATAGGAGTGATTCCTGTGGTCTATTGCCTTGAGACCCCTAAATAGACTTTCAAAATTCTGTCCAATACACTATACTTTTTCATTTCAGTTCATAGCATGCCTTTTTTCAATCTTTTTCTTTGTACCTGACTATGTTTTATATTTACTGTGAGTTTCTTGTAGAAAGGAATGGTTTGATTTTCCTTTGTGCATTTTCACTCACTGGTTTTTAGTTAAGTAATTAGGGCATTTATAATTAATATATTGTTGATAGGCTTGCATTTTTCTGTCACTTAAAAATGTTGATTTTCTTTGCTTTATGTCTAAAAGCCACTTATGAGCGAGTACATATGATAATTGTCTTTGAGTCTGGGTTACCTCACTCAATGTGATGTTTTCTACATCCATCCATTTGCCTGCAAATTTCAAGATGTCATTATTTTTTTCTGCTGTGCAGTACTCCATTGTGTAAATGCACCGCATTTTCCTTATCCATTTTTTCAGTCGAGGGGCATTTAAGACAAAGATCTCATGTACTCACTCGTAAGTGGCTTTTAGATATAAAGCAAAGAAAACCAGCCTACAAGTCACAATCCCCGAGAACCTAGACAACAATGGGGACCGTAAGAAAGACTTACATGGATCTAATCTACATGGAAGTAGAAACAGACAAGATCTCCTGAGTAAATAGGGATCATGGGGACCATGGGAGAGGGCAGAAGGGGAGGGGAGAGGAAGGGAGGGGAGCAGGAAAACATATATAGCTCAATAAAATCAATAAAAAGAAGAAAAATGTTGATTTCTTCTGTGTTCCCTTTATGTTTTTTCTCTTTGATTATTTGAATTTATTTCAAAATTCCATTTTAATTTGTCTACTGGCTTTTTATATATCTCTTTTTATTATTTTAGTGATATATAGGTATATACATATCTAATTATCTTAATGTTGTTATTAACACCATCAAGAAACCTTACAAGGAAGTCCTTATGACTCATCAAGGATCATTACAGAAAACCACACCAATCAAAAAGCTGAATTAATGGTGTGGGAGAATTGTCTGTATTCTGTCAATCATATTTTAATAAAACACTGATTGGCCAGGCAGGCAGTATAGGCAGGAAAGCCAGACAGGAAGTAGGGGTGGAGCAAAGAGACTGCAGGAAGCTCCCTCCGTCACTCCTGCGCAGACCACCGAAGAGGCAGCATGTAACTTGCCCAGCTGAGAAAGGTACGGAGCCATGTGGCTAATGTAGATAAGGATAATGGGGTAACATAAGTTATAAGAGTTAACAAGAAGCCTGACCTAATGGGCCAATCAGTTTATAACCTTATGGAGTCCTGTGTGTGATTTCTCTTTGGGATTTGCTGGTTGTGGGGTACCGGGCGGGACGGAAACCCCAACAAGCCGGCCCCCTCACACTACAAATTGTGAAGCTCAGTTCTAATGGATACATAGATACAGCTACAAAACATTTCCTCATCTTAAGCTCAGGCAATATTTTGGAAGAGGGGCTGAAAGATTGGAAGAGCCAGAGAGAATCATGGAATTACCTGTGAGACTGTGTCCCTTAGTAATGTCATACATTACAACCCATAAAATCTCACCAACCTAACTGCCCAAATGTGAGCTGAACAAGGACAACCACAATAGACAGACCAGAGTAGATGGGGAGTGAGAACTCCAGGCAGCCAAGGAATACTGGGAGCAGGAATAGTACACCAACTAGTTATCCAATACCAATGATCAGCCCTGAAAACATATAAGTGAATTTGTGTAGACTGAGCAGGCTTATTTAGGAGTTTATATTTATAATCTTAGCCATAAATGCATGCAATAGCAAGTAATGAAAAAAGAGTTAATGAATTTGAAAGAGGGGTATATGGGAAGATTTAGAGAGAGGGATGAAGAGTGGGAGAAATAATGTAATTGTATTATAATCTCAGAAATAAAAAAATCCTTACTAGGATATAAGTTATTTGTTCTGCCATGATTATATAATAACTGATATGTATGTATGTGTGTATACACACACACACACACACACACACACACATACACACATTGAAAGGGCCATCGGATATTTTTCTTTTAACAGCTAGGCATAATTCTCTTAGTATTTGTTTTAGAGATTAAAGATTTTAATGGATTTTGTTATTTCTCTTTCATTTCACAATATTTTTATTTAACTTTATTTTTAGAAAATATTTTCATTGAATATGACATTCTGTATTGACAGTACTCTTCCCACACTGTAAAATGTTTTTCTACTTCCTTTTCTCCTATGTGGTTTCTGGTGTGAACTTTACAGTCATCAAACGATTGTCTCCTACATCTGTTATCTCATTTTTTCTCTACCTTCATTCCAGATTTTCCTGTCAGTTTTTCCTAGTTTGATTGTAATATGCCAATTCATATTAGTTAGTTATTAGGTTTCTGAGGGTTAGTGAGTGTAGTTTGTCCTATTCAGCGAGTTTCTTGAATCTCTACATTTATGTCTTTCCCTAGATGTGGGAGGTCTTCAGCCATTAGTTCTTAGAATCTCTACAGAACCAAGTTGCTGCAAAAACTGTATTTGAGGTTTCTTTTTCCCTCTCTTTTCCATTATTTTCTTTCCCGGTTGTTTGAATTGGATAGATTCTGTGAATTCACACAAGCTCACTATCTATTTCCTCTGTCATATCTGCTGTGAACACATATAATAAAAATTTAATTTCAATGTTATATGTTATCTACTTCTAAATTTTCAATTTGTTCTTTTATAATTTCCTCTGCTGAAGAATTGTATGCTTTCATTCATTTCGAGTGTCGGTAACTACTTTAGACTTTGCGTTCTAATTTTACTAGTTAATTCTTTTTGGAAGTACAGTGTACTTATTGTCTTCTTGTACTTTTAGTTGTGACCCTGCCTTTAATGGTAGAGCTGTCTTTCCAGTCCTATTGTCTTTTCTTGGAATGTGACAAAATTTCTTTACTTTGGTGTGTTGAGTAAGTTTAGATTATTTCTTGAACATTTTACACATTGTATGGTTTAAATTATAATTCTTATTATAATCCTTAGAATACTGACATTCTTCCAATTTATCATGGATTTTATTGGTTTTCTTGATGAGAATTGGTAAGACTGTCATTGCTTACTTTGTTTGCTCTGATAGGCAGTCTGGAATTTCCCTTGTCTTTCTAGTCTCATGGGTGATTGCACTTCTCCTAGCCTTAGAATTTAGGTCTTACTAGGTGAGTTGCTTAACCAAGAAGTGATAAATGGAAGTGATATGTATTTTCCTTATGCAAGTCCTCAGTAATTTCTACATGAGCCGTGTGTGCTCAATTTTAAAGATTTTTTTTATTTTTGAGATGTAATATAATTGCCCCATTTCTCCCTCCTCTTTTTCTCTTCCAAACTCTTCCACATTCTTTTTCTTGCTCTTTTACAATTCATGCCTTTTCATTAGTATATGTATATGTATTTCTAAATATAATGATATATATTACTTTTAAATACACAAATACAACCTACTCAGTCTGTGTAATGTTACTTGTCTGTGTGGGTAACTGGCTGGTGTGTTCTTCTTTGGGGAATACTGTTTCTACTACTCTCAGCATTGCTTAGCTGGCTGTAGTTCTTTGTGTAGAGGTGAAGCCTCATGGGCTTTCTCCATCCACTTTGGCATGTCTATTGTTGTCCTTGTTCATCTCATATTAGGCAGTCATGTTGATGAGACTTTATGGATTTAGCTTCTGACATTACTAGGAGACACAGTCTCAGAAAATTTCCTGTCCCTCTGGCTCGTAGAATCTTCTCACCACCCTTTTCCATGATCCAACCTTTAGATGCAGGAGTTTTATTGCAGATGTATCAGTTGGGACTGGGCTCCATGACTTAATTTATTAACTGTGGTTTTACGTAATGGTCTCTATCTGATATTTCAGAGAGAAGTTTCTTTCTCTCCCCCCCTTCTTCCCTCCCTCCCTTTCTCCCTCCCTCTCTTCTTCCCTCCTCCCTTCCTTTCTTCCTTTCTTTTCTTGCAGGGTTTCTCTGTGCAACATCTCTAATTGTCTTGGAACTTACCTTGTAGACCAGGTTTGCTTGAAGCACACAGATTTGCTTGCCTCTGCCTCCTGGGTGCTGGGATAAAAGGCTAGCGTTTTATCTAAATACGTTGCCATATAGTTGCTGAGAGTGAGGTTTCCCTTAGAACAAAGTGGGGAAAGAGAGAGAAAAAGGAAAGTGGAGTTGGTCCTCTACTCCCAGCACTGGCTTTCAGTACCCTGTTTAGTAAGCTGGCTAGATGTAGCTCCATGTAAGGAAGCAAGGACAAACAAAAAGAAACAGGAGACCCACAGTTCTGTGGGGGCACATCTCTAAACTCTGCTTACTTTCCTTTGCTTTTCAGGGCCTTCAGTAGATCCTTCTAGTATTTCCCCAAGATACTTAAGTTGTAACAAATTCAAGAGCTAGGCTTTATGGGTTACTTTTTCTTAGGGGACAGCATACTGTTCACTAGGAATGATGGTGACCAAGTGTCTGATCATTCAAATTTCTTTGTCTTTTGGGTAAGAGCTTTAACTTCAGTGGACTGCTGCTATTCCTTATCTAATAGTTGGGAATATTAATGCCTGCTGACATAGGTGTTTCAAACATCAGAGAAACAGAGTTAATGCTTTGTACCACCTTGTCTGCAAAGCACTGACTGTATGCATGGTCTCCATCAGAATTGAACACTGCTGTGTCTGTTATGTATAGATCATTTTATATCTTACTTTCCGAATGAGCATCATTTGAAGCATGCGGATTAAGATGGATAAGACATGATCTCTGCCTTTGTGGTTTCCTGTTCTTTCCTGGGAACATAACGAACACAAAAATAGGCATAGAAAGTCCATGGGAACACAGGAGAGGGAGAGGTCATTCTGCCTAACATTGTCAGAGGTATTCAGAAGGTCAGAAATGTCTGTGAGAGTCTCCGCAATGATTTGATAGCTTGTTAAAAGAAAAGAACAACCCAAATATGTTTTTTTTTTCCAGTGAGGGGTGAGCTTTGTATATAATGATCTGTTTAATTAATGACATCATATTGTGAAATTTGAAATATATATATATATATTCCTGTATTGATTACATACTCTCTCTGTTAAAAAAATCACTGCACTCAAACAGCTGTAACAATAGAATTCCAAACTGCTTGCTATGACATTCCAACCCCACTTCCATGTGTTTCCACTCTGTTCTTACACAATAAGATCCCCTTTTATTTTATAATCTGATTTGATTATGCTTCTAATCATCATGTCCTTGATGCCCCTAGAGAGAGTGTTTGGTCTCTCTAGTGTTTATTTTGGTCATTTCAGAATCCTGTTAACTAGTCCTGTCTTCCAGCACACACCTCACACGTCAGCACCAGTTTCTCCCAGAGCCCACATACAAAGCTTTCCAATAATGCAGGCCTGTTTATGTATCCTGGCACTGTTATTTGTTATTCGTACAAATACTCTGAGCATCAGTTTTGATGTTTTTAATATTTAGATGGAGGTACCTCCGTTGTAATGTTGTTAAAAGAGTAAAATAAAGACAATGTCTGCCATACTAGTATGTGCACAATAAAAATTGACTCTCTTGCCTACACATAACCATATTTTTATCAGTTATGTATTTCCCACAGCTGAGCTTTAAAATATGTTTATTATGAGGAAATGTTTCTTATATGTAGATCACACTCTACTCCCTCGGGTATAGAGTGCAGATTCAGAATCCCATTTCATGCTCAGGTAGAACTCACCTGGGTCTCCGTTTCTTTGGTGCCTTCCTGAGGCCGCGGTGTGGACCGTGCAGCTTGTTGGCGCGCACTGCACTACCGGGGAGAGGAGAATGAGACAGCCGTCACTAGTGCTGCACTGTAAGGAGATGGAGAACGCAGCCGTGGCTGGGACACTGCATTCAGGTGTCGGGTTGAAGGAGCTGACCCTGGAAGATGTGGGGAGCTTAGGAGAGCCAAACCTGGAGGATGGGGGGAGCTTGTGAGAGCAGACACTGCGGCATGTGGGGCCAGCTCAGCGCTCCATGAGTAGTGACAAGCTTTTCTTTTAGGAACTATCTGGACTAAGTTCTTTCTGGTAGCCGTTAAAAAGTACCTCCTTCCTTTGCTTTAGTTCTCTTTCCTGCTCTAAATTTATTTTTTTTCCTGTTTGTCCTCCAAATTCACCCACATTTTATGCAAGTCAACACTCATTTTACATTTTGCTAAATACTGCTTACTTTCTACATGAGCCAATTGAACTCTCCATGTGTTTATCATAAGCTCCAGCCTTGGCCTTTGGGTACTAATAGAACTAAATAAGGGAAGCATAAAATACTCATGATGTCAGCTCGGCCAACACCAAACTTTTATTTTAATTTTTTTATTTAAAAGTTATTTTAACACTTTACATACCGACCACAGTTCCCCCTCCCTCCTCTCCTCAAGCACCCCCCACCTTTTCCCCTCCCAATAGCCCATCTACTCCTCAGAAAGGGTAAGGCCTCCCAGGAGGAGTCAACAAAGTCTGGCATATCAAATCAAGGCAGGACCAAGCCCTTCCCCCTGTATCAAGGCTGAGCAAGTTAGCCCTCCATAGGGAATGGGCTCCAAAGAGTCAGTTCATGCGCTAGGGAAAATTCCTGGTTCCACTGCCAGTGGCTCCACAGACTGCCTAAGCCACAGAACTGTCACCCACATTCAGAGGGCCTAGTTTGGTCCTATAAAAGCTCCCTAGCGGTCAGTCCAGAGTCAGTGACCTCCCACATGCTCAAACTACATCTTTGATCTTGGCATTCATTTCCAAACTTTTAGAGTTTTTCCATGCCCTTAAAACTGGAGGTTCTTTTGTTTAGTGAACAGGTGTGACAGCTCACACTGCATGACTTCTGACTGTCGCCTCTAGTGCTTAGCTGTATGATACTTTTAAAGAAGATCCGCTTTTAGGTCTGGACAGTTGGTTTAATGATCAACAGCACCAGCTGCTATTCCAGAGGACCTGGTTTGATTCACAGGATCCACATGGTGCCTCACAACCAGCTATAACTCCAGATTCAGGGCATCTGATACTCTTTCCACCTTCCATGGACACCGGGCATGTACATGGTGCACATACATATAAGCAGGAGAAACACCCATATACATAAAATAATAATAGTTTTTAAAAGGTAAAAAAAGATAAGATCTACTTTCATGATGCATCATTGGGTAGGTGACTTTTGAGTATGATATTATAAATTTCTGGTGGGAGTGCAAGTTGGTACAGCCCCTTTGGATGTCAGTGTGACGATTTCTCAGAATATTAGAAAATTACCTCCCTCAAGACCCAGTAATGCCACTTTTGGGTATATGCCCAAAGGATGCTCAATTGTACCACAAGGACATGTGTTATAGCCAGAACCTGGAAACAACCTAAATGCCTCTTAGCTGAAGAATGGATAAGGAAAATGTGGTACATTTACACAATGTAGTACTACACAGCATAAAAAACAATGACATTTTGAAATTTGCAGGCAAATGGATGGATCTAGAAAATATCATATTGAGTGAGGTAGCCCAGACTCAGAAATACAATTATCATATGTACTCACTCATAAGTGGCTTTTAGACATAAAGCAAAGAAAAACCAGCCTACAGTTCACAATCCCAGAGAACCTAGACAAGAAAGTGAGACATACATGGATCTAATCTACATGGGAAGTTGAAAAAGACAAGATATTCTGAGTAAATTGGAAGCTTGAGGACTATGGGAGAGGGTAGAAGGGGATGGGGAGAGGATGGGAGGGGTGTGGAGAAAAATGTATAGCTCAATAAAAACAATTAAAAAAATAAAGGACAGCATAGTTTGCATAGTGAATTTCAGGATGGTCACAACTACATGGTAAAATCCTGTCTTGAACAAAATGACAAAATAAAATATTATATACTTCATAACAAGAAAGAAATGCTGATCTATTTGAATTACTGTTAATTGGAGGAGCCTTTTGTAATAGCTGTCCAACACCTACTTACTGCTCATCCTCTCCTCTGCACACTCCACAGGTCCCCTGAGCTTGTCGTGCATTTTCCTGATGAATCCTCATCAAACTATGTGTCATGGTCTTCCTTGATGACCGCAAGCTTGACTAGAATAATTTACATATTATTATGTCTATGGTAAAATAGAATGAATTGGGTACTTCTCTTTTGTATTAATCTTCATAAAAAGGGACAAAATTCCGAGAATGTTTGTGTCCAAGTAGAGCATTACTTTGACGTATCATCTACATAATTTACACTTTGCTGAGTGTTTTATGGCTCTTGCTCTGCACACATAAAGTACCTTTTACTCACGTGCTGGGGCTCAGGAAATGCTTGTTGATAACAATTTAAAAAGCAAATTAATGTAAAATGTGCCTCAGTCCTCCAATAGCTGGGTGTGTGAGAGGATTGCTTCAGGTGGAAATGAATTTACACAGATCAACAGGCGGTGCATTCTTAAAAGTGTGTTGTGGAGCTAGGGAGATGTCTCCACAATTAAGAGCACTTGTTGCTCTCCAAGAGGACTCAGGTATAATTCCTGCCATCCATGTCAAATGGCTCACAACCATCTATAGCTTCAGTTTTGGGAGACGATCCAGTGTCCTCTTCAGGACTCCCTGGTACCAGGTACGAGAAACAGACTCAATCATTTATGTACTCAGAAATCCATAAGAACATTAAACTGGAATGGAAGCCATAATGAATATAGAAAGGACCTATAGGGTAAAAAAAGAGAATAAAAAGGTAAATAAAATAAAAATAATAAAATAAAAAATTTGAAAAAAGGAAAAACTGTGACACAATATTATGAGACAAGGACCCTCCAAAGATGCTGCTGAGTGCACTTCTGTTGGCACCCACTGCTGGGCGAGCACCCCACCCTTCAGAGCAGTTTGTTTCCCTGGTGAGACTCCCTTGGAGGAGACTAAATGGAGGAAACCATTTGTAAATGGTTCAGTTGGAGATTGCTTCTGGGTAGGGATTGGGACGTGTGTCCACTTCTTTCAACTCTAGAATCCCGTTTGCCACAGACCTGTGCAGGCCCTGTGTGTGCTGCCTTAGTCTCTGAGTTCACATTTGCACTGTGTTGATGTAGAGGGCCTTGTTTACTTGGTGTCCTCCATCCCTTCTGACTCTTACAGTCTTTCTGCCTCCTTTTCCATGGGGGCTCCCTGAGCCCTGAGACATAACAAGTGATTTTAAATTGTATTTTCTTGGACACTTATATCCTATCATAGAAAAATTCACTAAAAGTGGATCAAAGCCCTGAGTATAAAATTCACAATGAGAAAATCCATAAAACCCACGGTTTAAATCCTCAAGTGCTTAGATTTGATAATTGATTCATAGATAGAACTGCAAAAGGGTGAGAGTCAGAAGAAACTCATGTGGACAGAATTCTTCAAAACTAAAATGCTTTTATAAGTGAAACGACAAAGCCAACACAGAAAAAATATAATCAATGGACTGGGAGAAAATATTTATAATTATGTATCTAGTTATGGTCTGGTATAGAGAATATAAGAGCCCTTTAACTCAATAGGTAAATAATAACATAATTTTAAAACTGGACAAAGGCTTTTCCTAGCTGCTTTTCTAAAGAACATATTCAACAAACACTTAGGAGATACTTGATGTCACTTGATGACTCCTCAGCAAATTAAATTTGAGGTTTCCATTTGACACAGCAAGGCTCCTCCTAGGTATATATTCGGAAGAATCTAAAATAGTTCTTCAAACAAAATACTTCGGCATAACAGCAGGTGACTGTTCATTGTAGGCAAGGGGGTTTGCTCAATGGAAGTCAGTTGCTGAAGTGATAAAAATATACATTGTATCTAGACAGAGGTGTGAAACCACAGTTTCAATGCATTTAAAATTACATTTAAAAAATTTTATGAATATGAGCATTGCATGATTGTATGTACACTGTACATGCGTCCAGTGGCCGTGGAGGCTAGAAGAAGGTGTTAGATCCTTTAGAGCTGGAGTTGTGAACAAGCAGTTGTGAGCTGTTATGTGCGTGCCTGGAACTGGGCCTAGGCTCTATTCAGGAGCGGCAGGTGCTCTTTCTGCCAAGCCACCTCTTCAGTCCCTAGGGGCCTCGAAATTTTGATTCATGTTGCAGTATGTGTAAAAAACAAGGCTCACCAGAACAGTCCACTTAGTCTGCTTCATGAGTGTTTGATTCCATTTGTAAGAAATGTCCCAGATTGACAGAATCAGATGAATGGTTGACAGTCACCATAGGAGGCAATGGAGGTGAGTGCTGAGGGGGTACGGGGTCCCCTTGGGATGAGGAAGCTTTCTGAAAGGAGATGACTGTACAGAATTGCGGGTACACTTGGCGATTTAAAATTGAGAAGATGGTAAATTCTATGTTGAATTTGCTTTACCACATTAAATTTTATTTTTTTACACGAAGTTTTTAGCTGGTGTGGGATTCTTTTTACACAGGATGGCCAAGTGTTACACTGCAAAGTAACATGACACAGAGAAACAGGAAGTTGGGTTCTAGAGAAAACTTGCCTATTGACTCATCTCAGAGCTTTGGGAAGCAAACCATGCGGTCTTCATTTTCCTGGCTATAGAATGAAGAGTTTTAATTAAAAGAAATCTGAATTCCTGCACAACTCTAAAATCCTTTTATTTGAGTTATAAATAGCAATTTAGAATTCTGAATTCTGTGCTTTATATTGTTCCTGCTTCAACTTACATCAATAAAATGAATACGTTTCTAAATTTGATTATATTCAGCACCAAGAAACCGTTCACAAAGCATGCTAGGCATATAAACCTCAGAATAGAACTTATAACTAGGTAGTCAAAAAGTCCCCAAAGTAATTGGAAAATGGATTAGTATACTTGTAAGAAATATTTCCT